TCTCGGTTCGGTTCGGTTCGGTTCCGGTCGGGATGTCGGTCACAGTGAAGGCCTACCTGCTGGGGAAGGACGAGCAGGTGAAGGAGATCCGGCGGTTCGCGGTGGACCAGGAGGTTTCCTGCAGCTTCGAGTTCCTGAGCCGGAAGGTGGCGGCGGTTTTCTCCAACCTGAGCGGCTCCACCTGCTGCCTCTTCTACAAAGGTGAGCGTCACGTGACCTGTACACGTCGCGATGCAGCGTGGTTTAACTGTTTTAATGAGAAGAGTTCAGAGGTCAGCCTCAGGCCCGGTGCTCACTGGCAGCTGGAGCTCCCAGGTGTTTCCAGGTGATTTGGTTTCAGAGTAAAACCGAACCCAGTTGTTCTGGTCCGACCTGTAAACTGTCAGGTCACGTGACCTTGTTTGATATTTCTGCCACGCCCCTCAGCTGATCCACCTGTCATATCTGCTCTGGGTGTAAACAAACGCCTCATCACCATGGAGACCGTCTCCTTTAATGTGCTGACAGCTCATTGGTCGATTCCTCTGCATCTCCAAATGGACTCAGCTGCTATAGTTACCTGGTTCTGGTCCGCTCCCTCTGTCCGAGTCGGCTCGGAACCAGAACCGGGCCAGCCGGTCAGGTTCTGTTCGGGACGTTTTAACAAATCAGGTTCTGGTTCCAATCACCTGGCCTCCCTGTCTGAAGCTGTAGTGGGTGTGGCCACAGAATGCTGCTCTGATTGGCTCCTGATGATGATGTCATGGTGTTTCAGATGAAGATGGAGACCTGGTGGCGTTCTCCTCCGACGACGAGCTGATGATGGGGCTGAGCTTCATGAAGGACGCGACGTTCCGCCTCTACATCAGAGGTAGGTGGGGGAGGGGGAGCAGTGTTACACTGTGTGTGTTACACTGTGTGTGTTACACTGTGTGTGTTACACTGTGTGTGTTACACTGTGTGTGTGTCACAGTGTGTGTGTGTTACACTGTGTGTTACACTGTGTGTGTTACAGTGTGTGTGTGTCACAGTGTGTGTGTGTTACAGTGTGTGTTACAGTGTGTGTGTGTGTTACACTGTCACTGTGTGTGTTAGTGTGTGTTACACTGTGTGTGTTACACTGTGTGTGTTACACTGTGTGTGTTAGTGTGTGTTACAGTGTTACAGTGTGTGTTAGTGTGTGTTACACTGTGTGTGTTACAGTGTGTGTTAGTGTGTTACACTGTGTGTGTTACAGTGTGTGTTAGTGTGTGTTACACTGTGTGTGTTACACTGTGTGTGTGTTACACTGTGTGTGTGTTACAGTGTGTGTGTTACAGTGTGTGTGTTACACTGTCACTGTGTGTGTTAGTGTGTGTTACACTGTGTGTGTTACAGTGTGTGTTAGTGTGTGTTACACTGTGTGTGTTACAGTGTGTGTTAGTGTGTGTTACATTGTGTGTGTGTTACACTGTGTGTGTTACACTGTGTGTGTTACAGTGTGTGTGTGTTACAGTGTGTGTTACAGTGTGTGTGTGTTACACTGTGTGTGTTACACTGTGTGTGTGTCACAGTGTGTGTGTGTTACAGTGTGTGTTACAGTGTGTGTGTGTTACACTGTCACTGTGTGTGTTAGTGTGTGTTACACTGTGTGTGTTACACTGTCACTGTGTGTGTTAGTGTGTGTTACACTGTGTGTGTTACACTGTCACTGTGTGTGTTAGTGTGTGTTACACTGTGTGTGTTACACTGTGTGTGTTAGTGTGTGTTACAGTGTGTGTGTGTTACACTGTGTGTTACAGTGTGTGTGTTACAGTGTGTGTTACAGTGTGTGTGTGTTACACTGTGTGTTACAGTGTGTGTTGGTGTGTGTTACACTGTGTGTGTGTTACACTGTGTGTGTGTTACAGTGTGTGTGTTACAGTGTGTGTGTGTTACACTGTCACTGTGTGTGTTAGTGTGTGTTACACTGTGTGTGTTACAGTGTGTGTTAGTGTGTGTTACACTGTGTGTGTTACAGTGTGTGTTAGTGTGTGTTACATTGTGTGTGTGTTACACTGTGTGTGTTACACTGTGTGTGTGTTACAGTGTGTGTGTGTTACAGTGTGTGTTACAGTGTGTGTGTGTTACACTGTGTGTGTTACACTGTGTGTGTGTCACAGTGTGTGTGTGTTACAGTGTGTGTTACAGTGTGTGTGTGTTACACTGTCACTGTGTGTGTTAGTGTGTGTTACACTGTGTGTGTTACACTGTCACTGTGTGTGTTAGTGTGTGTTACACTGTGTGTGTTACACTGTGTGTGTTAGTGTGTGTTACAGTGTGTGTGTTACACTGTGTGTTACAGTGTGTGTGTTACAGTGTGTGTGTGTTACACTGTGTGTTACAGTGTGTGTTGGTGTGTGTTACACTGTGTGTGTGTTACACTGTGTGTGTGTTACAGTGTGTGTGTGTTACACTGTGTGTGTGTTACAGTGTGTGTTGGTGTGTGTTACACTGTGTGTGTGTTACAGTGTGTGTTACAGTGTGTGTGTGTTACAGTGTGTGTGTGTTACACTGTGTGTGTGTTACAGTGTGTGTGTGTTACAGTGTGTGTTACACTGTGTGTGTGTTACACTGTGTGTGTTACACTGTGTGTGTGTCACAGTGTGTGTGTGTTACAGTGTGTGTGTGTTACAGTGTGTGTGTGTTACACTGTGTGTGTTACACTGTGTGTGTGTTACAGTGTGTGTGTGTTACAGTGTGTGTTACACTGTGTGTGTGTTACACTGTGTGTGTTACACTGTGTGTGTGTCACAGTGTGTGTGTGTTACAGTGTGTGTTACAGTGTGTGTGTGTTACACTGTGTGTGTGTCACAGTGTGTGTGTGTTACACTGTGTGTGTTACACTGTGTGTGTTACACTGTGTGTGTTACACTGTGTGTGTTACAGTGTGTGTATGATGATGATGCTGCATCCATTTCAACAGTTTTTTTGAATCCACAGAGAGGAAGGAACACCGTCGGACTCCCTCTTCATGCCTTCCCCCCTTTCACCTTCGGCCCCCCCCCTCCTCATCATGGCCCGCCCACATGGCCCCGCCCCCCGCTGTCCACCCTAACGTGACTTGTGACGGCTGCGAAGGCGCTGTGGTGGGAACACGCTTCAAATGCTCAGTGTGTCCAGATTACGACCTTTGCTCCGCCTGCCAGTCTCAGGGAAGCACACTGAGCATGCTCTGTTGCCCATCTGGCACCCTCTACAGGTGAGGCTTGGGACTGCAGGGGCATGACTGATGCAAACTGGAACAACTTCACAATGAGTAAAACCAGTAGCAAGTATGAAACAATGTGAACACTATGTCCTCCAGACCCCTAGGGGGAGTCAACCAGCACCCTGCAGGGAACCAGAAGCTCAGTAAACACTTTATGTGAGCGCCAATTATTAATATGTAGCAGAACATATTTATTTATGTTAGTTAACAATCATTTCACATTCTTAGTGAATAATTGAATTAATTTTGATTATAATTCAGTAAGAAATTGCATGTTGAAACTCATGGGACGGTAAGGTATCTACTCCATTAGACAAAAACAAATTTTATTCTTATAATAAACAGGAATAAATTTACTTTAGCATCTTTTTATTAGAAAATAGTCTAGACTTTTTTTTACACCTTTTCTGTATTTTGTTATGTTTATTCTATTTATATGATTACAGTGAACTAAAAGAACAGACATAATGTTTCTGGAACATTCATCTTTTCTCAAAAACTGCAGCAGACGCCCCCTAGTGGTCTGGAGGCAACATTTCATGTTTGCCGTTTTTGCTACTTTTCCTATGGTTTGTTGATCATGCGTTGGTTCACTGCTCGCTCCTGATTGGCTGCCTGATGGGCTCCACCCACAATGGGTCCGAGCCAATCAGAAGAGCTGCTGTTGTAACAGGAAGTGGTTGTTTTGGCTCCGCCTACAGCACTGGTTTCCTCGGGGGAAGTGGATGAAGAGGATGCGACACTGTGGAATATGGAACCAGAACCAGAACCGGAGCAGAACCAGAACCAGGACCAGGAGCAGGCTGGGGCTGCCAAACCTGCAGCAGAAAGCAGCGCCCCCTCTGGTGAGTTATATCAGGACAGAAATCTGTTGGAGCTGAAGGTTCAGTCAGCTGACTGACTTCTGACCTCTGTGCAGCCTCCCAGGCCAGCGTGGACTTCCTGAAGAACATCGGCGAGGGCGTGGCCGCCATGCTGAGCCCGCTGGGTGCGTGATGTCACAACATGTGCAGGGCCTCCTGCTGAACAGGAAGTGATGTCATCTCCCTCTGCAGGCATCGACGTGGACATCGACGTGGAGCACGAAGGTCAGAAGACCAAGGTGACCCCGCCCACTCAGAGCGCCACAGGGCCAAGTGACATCGAGATGAACGAAGAGGGCGGAGCCAGCAAGGAGGACTGCGTCAACCAGGGGTCAAAGGTCAGTCAGCAGCTTTACAAACCCTGGAACCGATCAGGGATCAATGAGACTCTGATCAGAACTCCTGGCTGCAGGTGAGCCGGGACTCTGACGAGGAGTGGACTCACCTGAGCTCCAAGGAGGTGGACCCGTCCACAGGTGAGCTGCAGTCGCTGCAGCCAGAGGGCCGGGCGCCGCCGGAGCCCGGGGCCCGCAGCAGGGCCCCACCGGCCTGCGGGAGGCCGCGCTCTACCCACACCTGCCTCAAGGTGAGCAGCACACTCGGTCTCTCTGGTTGCCATTACCACGGCTGTCGCTAAGCTCCGCCCACTTCCTTCCAGAAGCCGACCCGCGTCTGGTGGAGTCGCTGGCGGCCATGTTGTCCATGGGCTTCAGCGACGAAGGCGGCTGGCTGACTCACCTGCTGCAGGCCAAGAACGGAGACATCGGCGCCGCGCTCGACGCCATCCAGTACGCCAAGCAGCCCCGCCCACACCAGTGACATCATCTCAGCAGCGGGTTCCTGTAGCCTTTTAGCATGTAATCAGTAGCTTCAGTCTGAGCTTTATAATCAATAGGTTTATTTGTTCCTTGGTTTCTGATCAATAAAAACCTGAAATGATGCCAGAACCTGTTTGAGTCTCTGATGTAAACAACAACAGTCATAAACGAAAAGAATCGAAGCTAAAATGTGAGAAAATCCTCATCAAAGTTGAAGTCTTCGCCGCTGTCAAACATGGAGGACACAGGAAGTTGGGGGTGGGGCTTGGCTGCTGCAGTGTCTACTGGTTGACTGATAACAGGAAGCTCCGCCCCCCTGCAGTCAGCACTGAGGAACGGACCCCGCCTGGAGCCGGAGCCGCTGGGCGCTGCTGCTGAGGTCACAGATGATGTCACTGCTGTCTGTTTCAGCTGCACAGAAGAAGAGAAGATGAATGTGAAGGTTTTTGGTTCCAATAAAGCAGGGGTCAAACTCCAGTCCCGGAGGGCCCCTGGCTGACCTTTGACCTTTGGAACATTCAGGCTGATCTGAGCATGAAGCCGTTTGGCTCCAGGTTTTTCTACCTGCTTCATCCAAAACCAAATGAAGCAAACGTCACAGCAGCAGCCAATCAGAGCAGAGAGGTGAGTCACGTGACATTAAAGTTTCGCCTCTCTGTTTACAAATCGGACCGGAGGGTTTCAGTCGCCCCCTGCTGGATATTTGTGGAACTGATTGTTAACCTGCTTTGATGTCATAGCAACATGAGCAGCTCCAGACAGGAAGTGCTGCTCAGGTGTGTTACCTTAACAGGTGGGCAGCCTTCCCCTCTTCTTCCTCCTCCCAGCTCCTCTGGTCTGTGTCTCTTCCTGGAACACAGATCAGCAGATTATTGATTATTGATCCGTTATATCTCTCTGACCTGGTCTGCTGGTTTGGAACCAGTAGACCAGAGACACATTAAACTCAGTCACCTGCCAGTGATTTGGTTGCCCTCCAATCCTTCCTCTTCCTCCTCTTCCTCAGGTGTGTCTAGATATTTGCTCCAACGACTCACCTGAGCAGGTCTCACCTGAGCAGGTCTCACCTGCAGCCAGACACACGCAGCTCAGAGCCTCCAGCTGTCCTGGTTTAGCGACAGCACTGGGTCTCACCTGGTCACCTGGACGCTGCTCCTCCTCCTGCTGCTCACTGTGAATGAAGCACAAGGAGGGAGAACACCTGAGCTCAGGTGGTTCCATAAACCAATCAGACAAAATGCAGCAGGTTATTCAATATTTCAGCAAAATCTTTAACCTAACTTGGCACAAATGTTTCCAGAGAAACATCAGCACTGCTAACCAAAAGTTAGTTTCACTCGCTGCTAATTGACTAAACAACGTTACACTGAACTGCTAACACAATAAAACATTAGCAGAAGCTAACGCTAACCATTTTTACGTCTGCGACTCGCCAGCAGCTTGTTGAGAAGAAGAGGAAAACATAAAGTTCCTCCAGATGGGAGACATTTTGGCGAAATGGCTGAAACCAGTCTTCCCAGTGTTCCTAGTCTTCCCAGTGTTCCTAGTCTTCCCAGTGTTCCTAGTGTTCCCAGTGTTCCTAGTGTTCCCAGTGTTCCTAGTGTTCCCAGTATTCCCAGTGTTCCTAGTGTTCCCAGTGTTCCCAGTGTTCCTAGTGTTCCCAGTGTTCCCGGTGTTCCTAGTGTTCCCAGTGTTCCTAGTGTTCCCAGTGTTCCTAGTGTTCCCAGTATTCCCAGTGTTCCTAGTGTTCCCAGTGTTCCCAGTGTTCCTAGTGTTCCCAGTGTTCCCGGTGTTCCTAGTGTTCCCGGTGTTCCTAGTGTTCCTAGTCTTCCCAGTGTTCCCAGTGTTCCTAGTGTTCCTAGTGTTCCCAGTATTCCCAGTGTTCCTAGTCTTCCCAGTGTTCCTAGTGTTCCTAGTCTTCCCGGTGTTCCTAGTGTCCCCAGTGTTCCCAGTGTTCCTAGTGTCCCCAGTGTTCCTAGTGTTCCTAGTCTTCCCAGTGTTCCTAGTGTTCCCAGTGTTCCTAGTGTTCCCAGTGTTCCTAGTGTTCCTAGTGTTCCCAGTATTCCCAGTGTTCCTAGTGTTCCCAGTGTTCCCGGTGTTCCTAGTGTTCCCAGTGTTCCCGGTGTTCCTAGTGTTCCTAGTCTTCCCAGTGTTCCCAGTGTTCCTAGTGTTCCTAGTGTTCCCAGTATTCCCAGTGTTCCTAGTCTTCCCAGTGTTCCTAGTGTTCCTAGTCTTCCCGGTGTTCCTAGTGTCCCCAGTGTTCCCAGTGTTCCTAGTGTCCCCAGTGTTCCTAGTGTTCCCAGTGTTCCTAGTGTTGCCAGTGTTCCTAGTGTTCCTAGTGTTCCCAGTGTTACTAGTCTTCCCAGTGTTCCCGGTGTTCCCAGTGTTCCTAGTCTTCCCAGTGTTCCCGGTGTTCCTAGTGTCCCCAGTGTTCCCAATGTTCCTAGTGTTCCCGGTGTTCCTAGTGTCCCCAGTGTTCCTAGTGTTCCCAGTGTTCCTAGTGTTCCCAGTGTTCCTAGTGTTCCCTGTGTTCCCAGTGTTCCTAGTGTTCCTAGTGTTTCCAGTGTTCCTAGTCTTCCCAGTGTTCCCGGTGTTCCTAGTGTTCCCAGTGTTCCTAGTCTTCCCAGTGTTCCTAGTGTTCCCAGTGTTCCTAGTGTTCCCAGTGTTCCTAGTGTTCCCAGTGTTCCTAGTGTTCCCAGTGTTCCTAGTCTTCCCAGTGTTCCTAGTGTTCCCAGTGTTCCTAGTCTTCCCAGTGTTCCCGGTGTTCCTAGTGTTCCCAGTGTTCCCAGTGTTCCTAGTGTTCCTAGTGTTCCCAGTGTTCCCAGTGTTCCTAGTGTCCCCAGTGTTCCCAGTGTTCATAGTCTTCCCAGTGTTCCTAGTGTTCCCAGTGTTCCTAGTGTCCCCAGTGTTCCTAGTGTTCCCAGGGTTCCTAGTGTTCCCGGTGTTCCCAGTGTTCCTAGTGTTCCCTGTGTTCCCAGTGTTCCTAGTGTTCCCGGTGTTCCCTGTGTTCCCAGTGTTCCTAGTGTTCCCTGTGTTCCTAGTGTTCCCGGTGATCCCAGTGTTCCTAGTGTTCCCGGTGATCCCAGTGTTCCTAGTGTTCCCGGTGATCCCAGTGTTCCTAGTGTTCCCAGTGATCCTAGTGTTCCCAGTCTTCCCGGTGTTCCCAGTGTTCCTATGGTTCCCGGTGTTCCCTGTGTTCCTAGTGTTCCCGGTGTTCCTAGTGTTCCCTGTGTTCCCGGTGTTCCCAGTGTTCCCTGTGTTCCCAGTGTTCCTAGTGTTCCCAGTGTTCCTAGTGTTCCTAGTGTTCCCTGTGTTCCTAGTGTTCCTAGTGTTCCCAGTGTTCCTAGTTTTCCCGGTGTTCCCAGTGTTCCTAGTGTTCCCAGTATTCCTAGTGTTCCCAGTGTTCCTAGTGTTCCCAGTGTTCCCAGTGTTCCTAGTGTTCCCAGTGTTCCTAGTGTTCCCAGTGTTCCTAGTGTTCCCAGTGTTCCTAGTGTTCCCAGTGTTCCCAGTGTTCCCAGTGTTCCTAGTGTTCCTAGTGTTCCCAGTGTTCCTAGTGTTCCCAGTGTTCCTAGTGTTCCCAGTGTTCCCAGTGTTCCTAGTGTTCCCAGTGTTCCCAGTGTTCCCAGTGTTCCTAGTTCCTAGTGTTCCCAGTGTTCCTAGTGTTCCCAGTGTTCCTAGTGTTCCCAGTGTTCCTAGTGTTCCCAGTGTTCCTAGTGTTCCCAGTGATCCTGGTGTTCCTAGTGTTCCCTGTGTTCCCAGTGTTCCTAGTGTTCCCAGTGTTCCTAGTGTTCCCAGTGTTCCTAGTGTTCCCAGTGTTCCTAGTGTTCCCAGTGTTCCTAGTGTTCCCAGTGTTCCTAGTGTTCCCAGTCTTCCTAGTGTTCCCAGTGTTCCTAGTGTTCCCAGTGTTCCTAGTGTTCCCAGTGTTCCCAGTGTTCCTAGTGTTCCCAGTGTTCCCAGTGTTCCCAGTGTTCCTAGTGTTCCCAGTGATCCTAGTGTTCCTAGTGTTCCCTGTGTTCCTAGTTTTCCCGGTGTTCCCAGTGTTCCTAGTGTTCCCAGTATTCCTAGTGTTCCCAGTGTTCCTAGTGTTCCCAGTGTTCCTAGTGTTCCCAGTGTTCCTAGTGTTCCCAGTGTTCCTAGTGTTCCCAGTGATCCTAGTGTTCCTAGTGTTCCCTGTGTTCCTAGTTTTCCCGGTGTTCCCAGTGTTCCTAGTGTTCCCAGTATTCCTAGTGTTCCCAGTGTTCCTAGTGTTCCCAGTGTTCCCAGTGTTCCTAGTGTTCCCTGTGTTCCTAGTTTTCCCGGTGTTCCCAGTGTTCCTAGTGTTCCTAGTGTTCCTGTGTTCCTAGTTTTCCCGGTGTTCCCAGTGTTCCTAGTGTTCCCAGTATTCCTAGTGTTCCCAGTGTTCCTAGTGTTCCCAGTGTTCCTAGTGTTCCCTGTGTTCCTAGTTTTCCCGGTGTTCCCAGTGTTCCCAGTATTCCTAGTGTTCCCAGTGTTCCTAGTGTTCCCAGTGTTCCCAGTGTTCCTAGTGTTCCCAGTGTTCCCAGTGTTCCTAGTGTTCCCAGTGTTCCCAGTGTTCCTAGTGTTCCCAGTGTTCCTAGTGTTCCTAGTGTTCCCAGTGTTCCCAGTGTTCCTAGTGTTCCCAGTGTTCCTAGTGTTCCCAGTGTTCCCAGTGTTCCCAGTGTTCCTAGTGTTCCCAGTATTCCTAGTGTTCCCAGTGTTCCTAGTGTTCCCAGTGTTCCCAGTGTTCCTAGTGTTCCCAGTGTTCCTAGTGTTCCCAGTGTTCCTAGTGTTCCCAGTGTTCCCAGTGTTCCTAGTGTTCCCAGTGTTCCCAGTGTTCCCAGTGTTCCTAGTGTTCCTAGTGTTCCCAGTGTTCCCAGTGTTCCTAGTGTTCCCAGTGATCCTAGTGTTCCTAGTGTTCCCTGTGTTCCTAGTGTTCCTAGTGTTCCCAGTGTTCCTAGTGTTCCCAGTGTTCCTAGTGTTCCCAGTGTTCCTAGTGTTCCCAGTGTTCCTAGTGTTCCCAGTGTTCCTAGTGTTCCCAGTGTTCCTAGTGTTCCCAGTGTTCCTAGTGTTCCCAGTGTTCCTAGTGTTCCCAGTGTTCCCAGTGTTCCTAGTGTTCCCAGTGTTCCAGTGTTCCTAGTGTTCCTAGTGTTCCCAGTGTTCCTAGTGTTCCCAGTGTTCCTAGTGTTCCCAGTGTTCCTAGTGTTCCCAGTGATCCTAGTGTTCCTAGTGTTCCCTGTGTTCCTAGTGTTCCCAGTGTTCCTAGTGTTCCCAGTGTTCCTAGTGTTCCCAGTGTTCCTAGTGTTCCCAGTGTTCCTAGTGTTCCCAGTGTTCCTAGTGTTCCCAGTGTTCCTAGTGTTCCCAGTGATCCTAGTGTTCCTAGTGTTCCCTGTGTTCCTAGTTTTCCCGGTGTTCCCAGTGTTTCCTAGTGTTCCCGTGTTCCTAGTGTTCCAGTGTTCCTAGTGTTCCCAGTGTTCCTAGTGTTCCCTGTGTTCCTAGTTTTCCCGGTGTTCCCAGTGTTCCTAGTGTTCCTAGTGTTCCCTGTGTTCCTAGTTTTCCCGGTGTTCCCAGTGTTCCTAGTGTTCCCAGTATTCCTAGTGTTCCCAGTGTTCCTAGTGTTCCCAGTGTTCCCAGTGTTCCTAGTGTTCCCAGTGTTCCTAGTGTTCCTAGTGTTCCCAGTGTTCCCAGTGTTCCTAGTGTTCCCAGTGTTCCTAGTGTTCCCAGTGTTCCCAGTGTTCCTAGTGTTCCCAGTGTTCCCAGTGTTCCTAGTGTTCCCAGTGTTCCTAGTGTTTCCCGGTGTTCCTAGTGTTCCCAGTGTTCCCAGTGTTCCTAGTGTTCCCAGTGTTCCTAGTGTTCCCAGTGTTCCTAGTGTTCCCAGTGTTCCTAGTGTTCCCAGTGTTCCCAGTGTTCCTAGTGTTCCCAGTGTTCCCAGTGTTCCCAGTGTTCCTAGTGTTCCTAGTGTTCCCAGTGTTCCCAGTATTCCTAGTGTTCCCAGTGTTCCTAGTGTTCCCAGTGTTCCCAGTGTTCCTAGTGTTCCAGTGTTCCTAGTGTTCCCAGTGTTCCTAGTGTTCCCAGTGTTCCTAGTGTTCCCAGTGTTCCTAGTGTTCCCAGTGATCCTAGTGTTCCTAGTGTTCCCTGTGTTCCTAGTGTTCCTAGTGTTCCCAGTGTTCCTAGTGTTCCCAGTGTTCCTAGTGTTCCCAGTGTTCCTAGTGTTCCCAGTGTTCCTAGTGTTCCCAGTGTTCCTAGTGTTCCCAGTGTTCCTAGTGTTCCCAGTGATCCTAGTGTTCCTAGTGTTCCTGTGTTCCTAGTTTTCCCGGTGTTCCCAGTGTTCCTAGTGTTCCCAGTATTCCTAGTGTTCCCAGTGTTCCTAGTGTTCCCAGTGTTCCAGTGTTCCTAGTGTTCCTGTGTTCCTAGTTTTCCCGGTGTTCCCAGTGTTCCTAGTGTTCCCTGTGTTCCTAGTTTTCCCGGTGTTCCCAGTGTTCCTAGTGTTCCCAGTATTCCTAGTGTTCCAGTGTTCCTAGTGTTCCCAGTGTTCCTAGTGTTCCCTGTGTTCCTAGTTTTCCCGGTGTTCCCAGTGTTCCCAGTATTCCTAGTGTTCCCAGTGTTCCTAGTGTTCCCAGTGTTCCTAGTGTTCCCAGTGTTCCTAGTGTTCCTAGTGTTCCCAGTGTTCCCAGTGTTCCTAGTGTTCCCAGTGTTCCCAGTGTTCCTAGTGTTCCTAGTGTTCCCATGTTCCAGTGTTCCTAGTGTTCCTAGTGTTCCCAGTGTTCCCAGTTCCCAGTGTTCCTAGTGTTCCTAGTGTTCCCAGTGTTCCTAGTGTTCCCAGTGTTCCCAGTGTTCCTAGTGTTCCCAGTGTTCCTAGTGTTCCCAGTGTTCCTAGTGTTCCCAGTGTTCCCAGTGTTCCTAGTTCCCTGTGTTCCCAGTGTTCCCAGTGTTCCCAGTGAGGAGGACAAATCGCACTGCTGGTTCAGGTAAAGGTGTGTGTTACCATAGCGACCAGGCGTGGGCCTCCTGCTCCTCCATCTTGGTTCCCCTCATGGCGTTCAGCTTCTGGACGTGGCGCCGGCAGTCGGCTCCGGACCCACGGCCGAATTCCTGCCCACCAAAGTTCTGATCAGAGTTCTGGAGAACAGCAGAACTTTAACAGAACCAGAGCAGGAAACAGAACCATCCAACCAAACGTCCTGAAATGGTTCTGGTTCGTCACACTTTGGACCGCTCCAGACAAGCTGCTGTTTTCTGTGGTTCTGCTCTGTAGAACTGCAGCAGAACCTCATGGATTTGGATCAGAACTTGATCAATCAGCATCTGATCTGGATCAGAACAATAAACAGGAAATACGCAGTCGCTATGACAACATGGATTTCCCTGCCCTCCTTCCTGCTTCTCAGCCAATAGGGAAGCAGGTCAATGTGGGCAGGTTGACTCCGCCCCTCCAGCTGGAGGAGCTTTGCTCGTCCAATCAGAAACCCGCACAAGATCCGGTTCCAAACGCAGGGAGAAGTCAGACCTGCAGAAACCGTAGGTCTGACCGCAATGGTTCTGACCCGATACGGTTCTGACCTGGGTTTTGATGCGGGTCTGACCCAGTTCTGACCTTCAGCAGCGACTGCTTCTCTCCACACAGCTTGCAGCTCCATTTCTCGCCTTCTTCACCTGCCAGACAAGAAGCAGGAAAAACTCTCAACTAGGTCCAATCTGGGATCAGAACCAAATTAAACAGAACTTTGAGTTTCCTATGATAATAGTTATAATAATTCCTCATTTGGCTGGAAAATCTCTTTGTTTCCTCAGAACCTTTCGTTCCAACAATAAATTAGATGCAATTTTTACTAAACAAAGAGAAAAAAATGTTTTATTTAATAAAAGAAAGATGTTTCGTTTCCTTATGGGTCTAATTTTTTGCATTTTCTTTTTGTAGAACATGGTTTTAGTTTTTCTCATCAAGGTTTGCTGTCACATCATCTGGACCCACAAAACAAATCCTACGACCCCAGACGGCCCGGGCCCGCACTTTAACTGGACCTTCATCTCCGGTCTGCTGGTTGTTCTGGAGGTTGAATCGCAGATCCAGACTCCTGAACCGGGCTCATATTTTGTTGTTTTCTGAACGACCCTTTGACCGGAAGTCAGACAGCAGCGAACCGGACGCTCACCTGCTGCACCTGGAAGCTTTGGCAGCGGAAAACACCGAACCACGAGGAAGTTCTGGACCATGACCCAACCGGTTCTGGACGGCAGCGCGTTCACTGGCTCCGCGTTTCCGTTGACCCGCGTATGACGTCACAGGGAGCTGACACGACAGGAGCGCCCCCTGCTGGGAGGAGGAGCCTGAAGCCGGAACCATTTCCTGTGAGGTTGTACGGCAGCCGGTGAGGTTTTATTTTCTTTTTGCGTGAAATACGTCATCATCTCATGTTGACCTTCTGCTGTCTGCATGTCCAAACACAGGCGCGCCCCTAGAGGGCGTGCTCTCCCTCTGCTCACATTTTCAACATAAACACCACAGAAGAAGAAGACGCAGGTTTCTCCAGGTTTATTGGAACAGATCAATAACTGATTAATGCAACAGATTTAAAAGCAGGCAGATAAACAGATAAAAACACTGTGACGTCACACTGTACAGGAGTAAATGGGGCACAAAAACAACAACTACAAAATAAAAACTTGAATTGAACACTGAACTTGTTTTTGTCAGCCATTATTTATTATTTATTTTATTTTACTTCCTGTGATGACATCACTACAGAGTCATGTGACAAACAGGATGTATATACACCTGTTCACCTGCAGCAGACTGGGGAACCAATCAGAGATCAATAAACACCAGCTAAGCTTTTACTGTGAAACACCCACAGGAAGTCACATGATGATGTCATAGCTCAGTCAGTGACTGACCAGTCAGAGACACTATTGATGTTGCATCGTCAGCAATGGTCCAATCAGACTCAAACGGACACAGGAGACGCAGGTGACCAATCAGGAGGCGGAGAACTGAGTGGTGATCAGTAACCAGGTAACCAGGTGATCATGTAACCAGGTAACCAGGTGATCATGTTACCAGGTAACCAGGTGATCATGTTACCAGGTAACCAGGTGATCAGGTGAGTCAGGAGGAATGCTGGCTGAGTCGTGGTCGGAGGCGGAGCTTATCTGGCGCTCCACGGCCCGCTGAGCCTTACAGGCAGCCATTTTGGCCTGGATGTCCATCTTCCTCTCGAAATACTCGACCAGCGCCGGTTCTGTCAACAGTGAGGCCAGCACTTGCTCAAAGGTGATTGACCAATCAGCTCCAGCGCGCTTCCCCGCCTCTCCTCGCCGCTGACCAGCACCGTGTCGTCGGCGATGTCCTCGCACTGCAGCGAGCCGGAGCTCACCACCGAGAACGACGACACGACGCGTCGTCCTTCGTCTCCTCGGGGTGGTCGGCTCCAGCTGGGCGTCGGCCAGAGCCCGGCACACCTGGGCGTCGGCCGAGGTTCCTCGCCGGGCCCCTCCTCCCGGGCCGGGCGGGAGGCGGGGCCTCGGCCCTCTTGCGCCGTTGCCGAACTTCTTGCCGACCTCTCCGATGCGCAGCAGGAGGCTGGCCACGGTGGCGATGGCGTGGTACAGCTGCTGCTCGCTCGGCTCCTCGCTGAACATGTTGTACAGCGTCTTACACAGCTCAATAAACTGCTCCTGTCACAGGTACACAGGTAAACACACCTGGACGGCCTCACCTGGGAGCTCAGCAGCACCGGACTCACCTGGTTCATCCTGGGCAAATCCTTGATGGTTTCCCTCTTGGGCTCCTTCTCTTCTGCCCACATCTCAGGTAGTACCTGTAGTTCCTTCACCTCTGACACCAACAAGTCAACTCAGGTGAGATGCAGGTTTGACACCATCAGCGCTCAGCAGGAGGCGGCCATTACCTTTCTTCTCCTCACCATCTTCTCCTCCATCTTGGTTCTTCACCTGTTCAGGAGAAAACATCATCATCATCATCATCATCATCATCAAACATGGTTCAAGAACCAGAACCAACCTGATGTCACTTCCTGCTGCCGCACAGAATCCAGATCAGACAGGAAGGAAGATTCTGGAAGAGACATGAGGAGAGGAAGAGGAGGAAGAGGAGGAAGAAGAAGAGTCGGTGTTGGTCAGAGCTCAGTGGCAGCAGGAAGTCCAGCAGGTGAAGGATATGTACCTCTACATCTGTGTGTGTGTGGTGTGTGTGTAGGTGTGTGTGTGTGTGTGTAGTGTGTGTGTTGTGTGTGTGTGTGTGTGATGTGTGTGTAGGTGTGTGTGTAGATGTGTGTGTGTGTGTGTGTAGGTGTGTGTAGATGTGTGTGTGTGTGTCTATGTGTGTGTGTGTGTGTGTGTGTGTGTGTGTGTGTGTGTAGATGTGTGTGTGTAGTGTGAGTGTGAGTGTGTGTGTGTGTAGATGTGTGTGTGTGTGTAGGTGTGTGTGTGTGTGTGTAGGTGTGTGTAGATGTGTGTGTGTGTGTGTGTAGATGTGTGTGTAGGTGTGTGTGTAGATGTGTGTGTGTGTGTGTGTGTGTAGATGTGTGTGTGTGTGTGTAGGTGTGTGTAGATGTGTGTGTGTGTGTCTATGTGTGTGTGTGTGTGTGTGTGTGTGTGTGTGTGTAGATGTGTGTGTGTATGTGTGTGAGTGTGAGTGTGTGTGTGTGTGTGTGTATGTGTGTGTGTGTGTGTAGGTGTGTGTGTGTGTGGTGGTGTGTGTGTAGATGTGTGTGTGTGTGTGTGTGTGTGTGTGTAGGTGTGTGTAGATGTGTGTGTGTGTGTGTGTGTGTAGATGTGTGTGTGTGTGTGTAGGTTGTAGAGATGTGTGTGTGTCTATGTGTGTGTGTGTGTGTGTGTGTGTGTGTGTAGAGTGTGTGTGTATGTGTGTGAGTGTGTGTGTGTGTGTGTGTGTGTAGATGTGTGTGTGAGTGTGTGTGTAGTGTGTGTGTGTGTGTGTGTGAGATGTGTGTGTGTGTGTGTGTGTAGATGTGTGTGTGTACCTTGATGTTTGTCCTCAGTGAAGAAGTGTGTGGCCTCCAGAGCAGACTCCGCCTCCTCAGCACACAGAGCTGGAACAGACAGACAGGTGTCAACACCTGAGGGGTCAGCCTGCACTTTGACCTCTGGGTAGCAGCTACAATCACCGCTTACAGTTTAGCAGTAGCTGCTAAGCTAGCAGGGTAGCGAGCATGCTACATAGTGGAGCAGTAACTGTGGTCAATGTGACGGATAAAAAACTTTCTGTTGGTGAACATTCATCTAATGTTCCCTAACGTTCCCTAATGTTCCCTAACGTTTCCCTAACGTTCCCTAATGTTCCCTAACGTTCCCTAACATTCCTAATGTTCCCTAACGTTCCCTAACATTCCCTAATGTTCCCTAACGTTCCCTAACATTCCCTAATGTTCCCTAACGTTCCCTAACGTTCCCTAACATTCCCTAACGTTCCCTAACGTTTCCTAATGTTCCCTAATGTTCCCTAACGTTCCCTAATGTTCCCTAACGTTCCCTAACGTTCCCTAACATTCCCTAATGTTCCCTAACGTTCCCTAATGTTCCCTCTGCACTGCAATCAGAATGAAAACCCAGGTGAATGTTAATTGTTGACCCTGGTCCACAGAAGTTGCAGTCAAGGGTCAGAGGTCAAATTAAGGGAAATGCTCCATTTTTATCTAAATTTTGATTGTTCTGGTCTGAGCATGCTCAGTGTGAGATCACCAACAGAACACCTGGGACGTCAGGTGGACCTCTGGTTCCGGTCGGCGGCATTGGGTCGGATCAGAACCTGATATCAGGTGAGCTGATACTGGTGGGAGGTGGAGCTTGTAGAGCAGCTTCAGCTTCTCCGTCATGTCGCCGTGGAACATCCCACCTGCAGAACCACAAACCCAGTGAGACCGGGGCTGACAGAACCGACCGGGGCTGACAGAACCGAACGGGGCTGACAGAACCGACCGGGTCAGACAGAACCGACCGGGGCAGACAGAACCGAACGGGGCTGACAGAACCGACCGGGGCAGACAGAACCGACCGGGGCAGACAGAACCGACCGGGTCAGACAGAACCGAACGGGGCTGACAGAACCGACCGGGGCAGACAGAACCGACCCGGACGGAGCCGACTCACTGAGGCCGGTGCTGAACTCTTTGAAGTTGACCAGCCCGTCCTGGTTCTGGTCCAGCAGCCTGAAGAGGCGGGCCGACAGCGCGGGGGTGTGGCTTCCGCAGACCCAGGGGGACAGCGCCGAGAAGAGCTGGGCGAACTGGACCGGTCGATCCGGACTGCTCCAGGTAGGGCAGGCTGGGATCGTGGCGCTCCGCCGCCGAGTGCTGGAGCCCCAGTAGCAGCTGGTCATGTGCTTGGACTAGGACAGACAGCAGGGTCAGACCGAGAGGACCGAGAGGACAGAATCTCAGGCGACCTCTGACCTTAAAGAGACAGTACAGCTCCTCCAGCTCCTCGATGTGAAGGCCAGCTCCGTCATCATCGCCCTCACCTGCAGAGAAACACATGTGAGAGACCGACCTCGTCTCTGTGACGTGAAGTGTCCACACACACCCACCACGCTCCTCTTCGCCGTGTCTTCCAGCGACTGGATGACCTTTAACCTCTGCTTAAAACGCATCTGCTCGATGACGTCAGACCGCAGGCTGCCGAACTTCTGCAAGACAAGACGTTTGATCCACCTGAGACCTTCCAGTCTGACCAGGTGACCACCAGGCAGGAAGTGACATCACTCTGACCTCATAGGACGCCCTGATGAGGTCGAAGACGTCGATCTCCTGCGGAGGGTCGTCTCCGCTCGTCAGCAGGGCATGGAGGTGGGGAGTGGGCGGAGCCACCGTCTGCTTGTTCACAACGTTGTCCAGGTACCTGCAGGACAGGTGAGTTTATTACTGGACCGGTCCGGACCGGACCGTATTGGGCCCGACGGTCCCACCTGCCCAGGATGGTCATGGCTTCGCCCTCATCGCTGCAGACCAGCAGGGCGTCCATGTTGTCATGAAGGACGGCCAGCGCCACTGCAGACGGACGAGGTCGAAGGTCAAGGGTTTGTCTGACCGGTACGCGGCGAGCAGTCGGCGCCACGCGGCTCCGTACCTGGAAGATGACCTTGATGCCTTCGTAGAAGAAGCAGTCGACCAGCAGGACGGCGCTGTCGAACGGCATGACGGACAGGAAGAGGGTGAGGAACCAGGACAGGCTGATGGTGG